TACTCAATAAATTACAACGCAAATCATAAATTTAAAAAAAGACTTCCTTTACTGGTCATTTTGAAATGTCAAACTTTGTCTGCAATTGTTAACCACCTCAATCTGTATTATATTTTAGAGTTTTAAAAAAATTCCCTCATATCCAAATTCAACATGAAGGGGGGGTGGTCCACTGCAGAAAGAGGCATTTGAAAAGAGTGCATTGTTCTCGGTCATTAGAGGTATGTGTATAAAACACACAACATTTACCAGAGAGCTACTCTCTTTTTTAACATACTGAATGGTGATACACTATGTATATCTCGTTTTTGTTTTTAGTTGGCATCCAAGCAAAAGAGAATGACTCCCTGTCACAATTAGTGTTATTAAAGTAAAAAATTATGTCAAGCTTTTCTTGTGCTTTTTTTCTTTCTTTCTTATTTGGAAGATGTGTGATGACCAACTTCCCGGCAGCAACAGAGTTGGACTTGAGGAATGCAGTTGGGAGGCATTTTAAACAAGAAATAAAACCAATAATTAATAATTTCCTTTAAGTTCACTGTTGGTTGTTTTATTTGTTAAAATTCAGCCTTGTTTTAGCTTAGACCCATATTCACCGTATATATGTAGTCGTTTAATAGCGGTCTAATTGATGACTAGTCTATTCTTGGGCTATCATTAGACGTCTATTAAATTTTCACTGACAGCCCAAATTTAGCCTTGTTTTAGCCTAAACGTCTGGGCTGTGTTTAGACGGCTAATAGACGTCTTTAAAACGCAAAATTGCTTGCTGGGTGTGTAATAAGTCATCTGCTCACTGAATAATATAAATTTAGTTTTTTGTTTGTTTGTTTGTTTTTCATTAAATATCAGTAAAAACTAATTCAAACTGTACATAATGATTTGTAGCCTAAGTAGTTTTTAAGAATGTCCTAAATAGACTGCGTGATGCAGGTAGTGACCAGTGTATCCTTTGCCATATTTTACTCTGTTTGCAACGAATAACTCTCGACAGAAGAGGGCGTGATTTCATTACAGACAACAGGCGGCTTCGACCACAGTCCAGTTGTCCTGAATCAGCTAATAGGACGCCGACGCCGCCTTAAAACGCATGTTTCCCGACCATCTTCCGTCCTGCGCCCTCATTCACGCTGCGCGAGGCTGGAGCTCATCCCGTGGCGCGCGCACGCCCAGCATCAGATCAACGCTCTGCTAATTAGCCGATGGCCTCCGTGGGCGCACCCACAACGCTCTTCTCCGCAGACACACTCAAAATAAGTATCTTTAAACGAGAACTGGTGAGACTATTACGTGTTTTTAATTACTTTTTTCTTGGGACAACAAAGCGGTCTTGTTTCCTTCTCACGGTCTCGGAAATGAGAAATATTGTATCGTTCATCTGGCGCCTTGACAAAAAGTAGGCTAACAAAAGACTTTACGATTGCAGAATAGCGCTTTTTTTTTCGTCCACATGTGATGGTGTTAGATGTTGTGTGTGAGAGTGATTCTGGTGCTTACGTTTACACATTGACAAGCTGAAGTGTAAACTGTCCGAAACACTCCGGAGGCGGGATAGAGGTGCTGATACTGGAACATGTAACGTTACTGACCCATCGCCACCTGCGCACCTGTGCTTTCTTCACCGGATAGCCTTATGCCAAGGACGATGCCGAACAGGTATAGCATGTTTTCTGGGTAGTAAATCAAGTCCATGAACAATTATTCTTAGAGGAGACCGAATACCATTACATTTAGGCCTAACCTTATAATCAACACGTTTTGAATTTGAGCAGTTTTCTTAGCATACAACAAAATATGACAATGCTTTATTTAAATGCAGCCAAAATGATCACAAATCAAAATGAATCAAGTAGTTCCTGTTCTCCGCATAAGCAACATCCAGATAATTATATCCTACATTATACATAGGCTACATAAAATTATAAATATACAACTACATACACCAGATTTCCACCTATATAACATGAAATCTCATAGGCGTTGGCAAAATATGTTGGCTATTATACTTTTCAAGTGAAACAGTAATTTATTGGCAGCAGTTTCACCAGTATCAGTCAGTATGATTTGAATACATTACTACAAACTAAGCAGGTTTTATTTATAATTAAATATTGATTCAAATATTTTTTGCTGTAATGTATTCCAAGGATTCAAGTTGGTGATGTCAGAGAACAACTGAGCATTAATAAAGAAAGAGACTAATGAAGAAGCAGATTAGCTGAAGACTACTTTTAAGTTAACTGGATTAAAACATTCATATTTTTTAGTTTGATGATTTACACAAAGCAAAGAATAGTGAGGTACCAATTACAAAACAAAAATATATGGGAATATACTGCTACATATAATGCGATGCATTACAGATTACATTTCCATATATGGGAAACTAGTGCTTATATTTTTCAGTATACTGCAATATGTGCATTGACCATGTATGGTGTGTTTGTAAGGGTATTTTTGTGTACATATTTTATATTTATTGTATACATATAGTGCACATACATGTTCCCATATAAATGTGAATCTATGTGCACACATAGCCTACTCACATTCTCGGAATGAGTTACAGCAGATTTCTAGTTCCCAGCATGCTTTGCTTCTGACTCTTAAAAGAGAGTAAATGTTAAAATGAAATATTATGTGTTTTTGCTCAGTGTTAACATAGGTGGAGATCTGTTTAGTGTTTAATGTTCTATTATTTTGGAATTTAAAAGTTTTCTGGTATGTCTGAGTTTTTAGAGTTACCGTTGTGCTGAAGAGTAGAGCCTGCGATTAGGTTGACGATCGGACACCATTAAATTTATACGGCATTTCATTTCAAATGTAATGAATGTGCGCTCTTTAGCATTGTGATAGTTTATTTGCTAATTGTTTTTGTACATGCTGGTGTGCTTAATAACATTAACACAATATGTTGTTGTTTGAATTTTTAATATACCTTTAAATAATTTATGTTATGTTCATATATATAATAGTGATGGGAAGTCCGGTTCTTTTCCGCGAACCGGTTCTTTCGGACAGTTGGTTTCAAAAAACCGGTTCATCTGTTATTTTACGCCATAACGTAAGTAATTTGTGGATTAATGCTTACTGGAGACGCGAACCGTTTCAAACGATTCAGTCCGATTGGGTGAACTGGTTCAACCGGTTCACTAAGAAGAACCGGTTAAATCGAACGATTCGTTCGCGAACCGGACATCACTATAAGGAAATATATTTGTTTTGCGGGAGGGAATATATTGATCATAAATATATGGAAATATGTTTTTGCTCAGTAAGGCACTATTCAACTTGCTTTTTATGAAACAAATGCAGTTATATCACTAACAAGGTGAACAGATAATGTCTCTCAAAGTGGTCTTAAACATCTTAGACATCAATACTTGGACATCAACACGTATATAAACCTACAACAATGGCGACAATCAGCAAAACATTCAAATAAAATTTTCAACTCTGAACATAACTAAACAAGCTACTCAAAAGTCAAAACAAAAGAAGAAAAGTCACAAGAAAAGAAGAAAATAAGACAATTCAAATGCATAATTTTTTCATACTGGGAGCCATAGATTAGTTTAGTACTATGCTGGCACCCAATATGCATTTCCGCATGAAGCTTGTTGTTGATTAATTCAGCTCTTAATTCATTTAAAGGGATCATATGATGCTGCTAAAAAGAACATTATTTTGTGTATTTGGTGTAATGAAATGTGTTTATGCGGTTTAAAGTTAAAAAAACACATTATTTTCCACATACTGTACATTATTGTTTCTCCTCTATGCCCCGCCTTTTTGAAACGCGTCGATTTTTACAAAGCTCATCGGTCTGAAAAAGCAAGGTGTGCTGTGATTGGCCAGCAACGGTCCTCCATAAAATGTGCTGCATACATCTAAATATTTGGGTCGAAGTGTTCTGGAACAGTGTTGTAAATACAACTTAACCACTGATTTGTAGTCGTGTCCTCTTTTGGAAGACCAAACAAAGTAGTTTCGCTTTCACAACGAAACACACGGCGGGCTAGAGTGAGCAGAGGCCGGCGGATTCGACGATCCAAAGAGAAAGGAAAAATTGAAATCGCATCATATGACCCCTTTAATTATCTAATTAACTGCAACACTGCTTGAGTGTTACTTTTTGTCTGTGGGCGCATATGAACAGTGTTATGAGTGGTGTTAATTTAACAGTGAGGATATTAATGTGCATGATATAGAATTATGCAATGGAATGATATTTGATTATACAGTGGGTATAGAAAAGAATCAGCCCCCTTTAAAATAATCAAATTTTGTTGCTTTGCAGTCTGAAATGAAGACAGACAGTTTTATCCAGCTGTATGTATTTATAACATCCAAGTGAAAGATATCACACCAACATGTCAGAAAAAAATAAAATAAAAATAAAATAAAAAAAACAGAATCCCTGGGTTAGAAAAAGGATCACCCCCTCCTAAAAATGACTTGTAAATCAAGTGTGGCTAATCACCTTCTTGATGGCACACAACGCCATTTGACTTTCAACTGTGATCAGCTGTGGTCATTTTGATTAACTCAGCATGAAAAGAGCTTTCCTGGAGCATGTCAGGCCTTGGTAGTGCAACTGATTCAGTTTCTTTCTCTCTCTCTGGCCAGCTTCCTCTTGGGTCTTTCATCCAGTTTGGAGCGACATCCTGATCCAGGGAGGGTCTGTGTTGTACCAAATACCTTCCACTTCTTAATAATAGACTTCACTGTGCTTCTAGGCATTGATAAATAAATTGAAATTTTTTTCTATCCATCTGCTGA